TTAATATGATGCTCACTGCAATGGGGAACACAAATTGTTCATTCTTGCATTTTAACAGGCATCAGGTTGGTATCTTTCTGCTTGTATCCTATTTAAAGCAAGCTGGTTTTCAGGAGTTGCCTACAAAAGTTTAAGTCCCTCTGAATTTGAAAGCTTTTAATGCAAACTATTGTCTTTTCAGAAATATTTGACTTAAAGAACTAATAACAAGTAACAAAATATACAACAAACTTGCCTAAGCGGAATGCGATAGATGCCTGATAAAAGCCTTCTCCAGTTAGTTTCCTGCTGTCCCACTTTTTCACCATAAATACTTCAGTGCATAGCTAAAAAAACATGCACATTGGCTCTGAACTCGTTTGCCAGTAGCTTGCTGTTAGCAGTACAGTTGCCACTTTCTATTTTGTCCCTCAACTTAAAATAATCCACGATTCTTGTGAAGAGAGCAGGTAAAGTGTTTCAGAACATGAAGGGGAGCAAAAAGCCACATGCCACCATACCTCCCGGGTACGGAGAGCTGCTAGCAGTCGGGAGCCAACACGAAGATAGGAAATGCTAGAAAGCACCTACTCTGCAACCCCTTAAAGCAAATCTGATACTGGTAGGAGAGCGATATGGCACGACAGTTACAAATAAATGGTACAATCAGCTATTTATTTCCTCTTGCCTTCACTTCAAAGATGGCAGCGGCTGCCTTGGTCATTGGTGGAAGTCAATGTAAACTAGCAAGACGGACAGCTTGGTTTGCCCTTGTCTAGCTTACCCACAAGGTAAGCAAAACAGCAATTACATCAACTGAAAGAGTAATTACATCAATTGAAAGAGCGTAAGGACTGCACAAATCGAGCGGCAAACTTTTAACACTGAAATGTCATACTCTGCCCTGTCAAGTCAGAGACAAGTTTGATCCTGCCCTGCAGATAAAGAACAAACCAACAAGATTAACAAAACATTGAAAAAAAAACAATTAAAGAGCTTGGTAAACTTCCTATTCCAGCTATGCAAATAGCCACAGACCATGAAAACAACCATTCCAGGAGACCTGGAAAAGTAACATTTTATTACATGGTGCCACAACAACAGTGGCATATTTAGAGAGGAGCAAACTATTAAAATAAAACCTCTTTGATCAAGTGTAACACTATTAAAAAATCACCTGACCAGAACTTTCTCCCAGAAACTGAGTGTGGCTGCCCATTCAAAATGTATCCATGGCCTTACTCTATATAGTTTCCAAGTAAACATTAAAAACAAATACCTGCTGAAAGTCTGCAATTAACTAGCGTCACTGGAAGCATCAGTCACTCTTGCAGACGACTATGTTCACTCCCTCATCTTTCAAATTACACTTAGGAAAACACGTGAACAGCTTTTTCACTCCCATGGGTATATGCTTCCTTCAGTGACCATACACAGAAAAGGAAATCCATACCTAGATATTTTTATGTCATTATATACTTCTCCCTCTTTTCCTTCCATTTTCATTTGCTGGATTTTACTGGGACAGTTGGCATTCTCAAGCACATCCTGCCTATACCAATCCATCACACGGAAACACTTGCATGTACCTTGAGCACAGACAGAAGAGACGGTCATACTAAACTACTGGAAAATAACCAAAACATAATTTAGATTCCTCGTTTCCCAGAAGCTCCCACAGAGCCACAGCTCTGGGAACATCCCACAGCTCCAGAGATGCTGACGCTTAAAACTTGGGATTGCCAAGCCTGAAGGTTCTCTCCAAAATGAGAGAAGCTGGAGAATATGAGCTTATCATGCCAGCAGGTGACAGCACGTTTATTTCTGACTGAAGAATTTTGGTGGCTTACAGACCTGGTTTCTGTAGGAATCTCAAGCCAAACCACTGCTAGACATTTTTTACAATAAATTGTTTGCGTTTTTCTAGCTAGCACCAGTAACAAAATTAGATTATTTCAACAAAGGAGATGCCGAAATAAACACACTATATATAATGTTATTTCTAGACAAACTTTCTAGGTCATATGCATTAGTTTCCTTATAAACGGTCAAGAGTTTTGCTTTGCTGAGGATTACACAAGAGGAACCAGAAGTCTTTTCCCAAATCACACTTAAATGGTGCAGTGGGCTTACCCACAATCAATCCTTCTGAAGAGGCCACAGCTCAATGGAGATTTAGACATCAAAGGAAAAGAAGCATGCACATCTCCACAAATCAGTGTGGTGGTGTTTTTTATCCTCATGTCCGAATAAATACCACAAAGTGCAATTTGTCTCACAGCATCTCTTCATTAAAGTTCCTGAGCAGCCAAAAAAACCTAAACACCTTGAGGATTGCAAGGTCTGTGTGGAAGTGGAGCAACCTTCCCAGATATGCCTGAACCCCGCTTTTAACAGTGGCCTGCTACTCCCAGGATAAGTCAGCCCTAGAATTAGCTGAAAGCTCCAGGGCCGGGATGATGCCAGCTCTGTCCCAAACCCAGTTCCCGGTCTGTACGAATCAGCACGGCAGGCAGGCACCCCGTTGATGAGCATCGCTCCAGGCTTGGCTGCCGCAGGACCATATGGTCACCTTTTAAGCTCACCTCATGGTCAATTAAACAGCACTCAAGTACCAGCTCTATGTTTACAGAGTGAACAACTGGACTGGCATGAATCCTTAGGCTACAGCATAAGGCACTATATATTAAAGTGGATGAAAAGTTGTTTATGCTTGTCAGAGATGGTGTAACACAGCCTACATAGCCCTTATTTCAGACACCTATTGTCTTTTAAAGTGCCTTTTAAAGACGGTGAGAAGTTTACCAATTTTAGCAGAGAGAAAAGTGACTCGATTCTGCAGTTCTCATAAGCATCTACAGACAGGTAGGAAGGAAAGCAAGGTCACCATATGGTAAGATCATTTTTTATTCCTACAGTTCAAAAAGGAAACACTACATCTGTCAAAGAAACCATCACAAAGATTATCTCATAATCCTGTATATTTAAAGATAACTTGTCTAGTTAGCAGGTCTCTGAAGACAAAATTTTCATACAGAAGCAATACCAAATAAAGAAAAATTTATGGAGAGATCATATCTGTCCAAGAGAAATTAGTCTTGTACTTTTCATGACTTGGCACTCCATCCAAACTTGCATGGAAAATCTATTACTATTGCACAGTCGAGATCTCCTGACGTAAGTTACAATTCAATGTTTTCTTACTTCAAACTATTGCTCTTGAAGTGGATTTCTAGGGTTTGGACTCCAGAAGTTCTTGCTCTGAGATGGCAGCCTGACCCTGCAATTACTGTCATTAGTGATGAATAATGTTTATGAAACACTTTTCTACCAAGTTAAGACTCTCATAATACATATAGTAATAGCTGTCGACCATTTCTGTTCTGGAAAACCATCTCTCTTGAGAGAGAGAAAAGCGTGGAGATCAATATATTGCTACGCACTTGATTCAACACATAACCAAGTACATAGTACTGATTTCCAGAACGTCAGACAAACTGTAACCCACAAATTTTATTTTTAAAATCCTCGATCATATCACAGCAAATTTCATGCAGCTGAACAAAATTAGCAGAGCAGAAAGTTCTCTTAGAGAGCAACTGTGCTAATTTAGCCAGCAATTGTGCTTGCTAAACAAAACTGAGAAGCAAGAAAACCTGAACGTAGCCAGAGTTCAGAGCCAAGAGGGCCAAGAACAACCAGAAGCTTATTTGATCTGATTAACTGGCTGTCTGCATTTCAGCCAATGTATCTGAAAAAGCTACAGATGAAGTGTGAAGGCAAAATATTAATCAGAACAAAATAACTTCCAGAACTCTGCACACATAATTTGCTTTTCACCTAAAAGCAATCGCTGAAGGAAGATGCGTAAACGTATAGCCATGTTGAGACACATGGCTGATCACTAAAGTCAGTCTCCTGAACGTGTGACTGCCAAGTCAGGTGGCAACCTCACAACATGCCAGAAAAAACCCTCTATCCCAGCATCACGCCGAGGAGACGAACAGCTGGGTTTCACCTCACCAACCATGTCTAACAAGATAAAACCACTCCTGCAACATATGGACCTTAAAGACAAGGTACCCCATTTTCAGCCATACCACGCACACCTGTGACCCAAGTCTTTTCCTGTTATGGACATGTTCCATAACCGTTGATAATTCTGACCAGGCCCAAATAATACGGGTTGTGTCAGTTCTCTACAAGCACAAGGCAAAGCCTCTGATGGCTTTGCAATATGCACCCATGCACAGAAATTACAGCAGGTGAAAGAAATTCAGAATAAAAGATTATACCTACTTCACAGCCTTCTATTCCTAAATTTCGACTCGGAATTTACACCATATGCAAACCATATTTATTATATATCTGTATATATGCTATATATTTTAGCCTTAAAATTTGCATTATATATTTTAGCCTTAAAATTTGCATTATATATTTATGTCACTCTGGCTGCCCTCTTAGAATGGGCTCGTTTCCACCCAGCACAGCGGACAAGAGTCCAAGCTTTTATTTTCCCACATTTACCATTCAGACATATCCAACAGGTTTCTGCGTTCACTATGAGGGTTTTCTTTCATTTTTTGCATTGTGCAGAGAGAAATTAAGAATTTCAGATATGAAAAGTATCACTACATGACAAACATTTTTAACATGACAAACATTTTTAACACCTATGGGCTTTCACAAGGCAATCTGGACTTCAAAAGAAACATATTTCCTCGAAAACCGGCTACTTACTTTTACAATACAGCAATAAAGGCTCCTGCTAACAATTACACGGAAATGTTCTGAAATGCACATACCAGGATCTAAATACATGAAATTAAACCACGACAATAATTCATCTTGGCTTCTCTTTAAAATAAGGATGAACCAAAAAAAATTCATTTTGGGGGAGTGGTGGTGTGATTTTTGGTTTGTTTGCCCTAATCAACACAGGCCTTTTGATGATAGAGGCAGCTGGTACCACCTGTTTCAGGCCAGAATGAAAACTAAAACTTCTTCACTGTACTTACATGTGAGGACTGAGTTCATAGAAGTTTCGGTTTCTGTATTCTTCCACTTTCTCTGGAGTATAAATGGGTAGAGGTCTGTAGGGGTTTATTGATATCACCACGCTGCCAATGTATGTCTGTTGAAAGAAAACAAAATAATTATTGTGCATTTTTCTTTTTAACATGTGTTTTCTGCTTATATATTCTTCTCCCATTTAATACTTATGCATAAACTAACAGACAAACAGCCTAATAGTAGCAACGAATAAATATGTACATAGACTCTGAAACGCCCTTTAGATCTCTCTCAACAATCACTGTTGGGCACCAAGCAGAAATTTCTACATAACTGAAAGCCTCTTATGAAAGTTTTTTAAAAGAAAGCCCCAACATACACTATTTCTGTGACTAATTCAGTTGGAGGAGGGAAAGGAAAAAGGACACAGATGTTCACAAAGAACCAACTCCATCTGCACAGCAAATGTCACACAAGCTTTGCTGCAGCCCTCGGGCACTCACATAAAACTACATGAAGGGAAGGCTGGAGCTGGACTGTGCTCCGACACCTGAGGACGAGCTTCATGCCATCTCTTCAAAGCCTTGGGCACAGAAGAGCTTTACCGAGAAGAAAACTGAAGGCAAATAGCCTCTGACGGATTTGTTATCAGGATTCAAGTCAGTCGAAGTCCTGTGTGGTTCCTCAGCAGGCGTAATTTTCATTTCCAGATTCTAAACATACCTACCCTTGGAAAGCAGACAGAGTCATGCGTCGTTTCACTCTGTTAGGTCCTGTTCACTACCGCGCTCAGTGAAGGCCGATACTGTACCCCCTGATCACTGCACCGGCACACGACACAATTAACCTGCCTTTGTCAAGCCTACTGCTGGGTACCTGCAGTTCTCCACCCCTCCCTCTAGCTGCAAGGGCTGCATTCAAATACACCCAACTGGCAAAAAATGCCAAAACCCCATTCCACTCTGCCTGCAGATACGGATCAAAGATTAATTAAACCCCAAGCATTTGGTATCTCTTTACACAACCATGAAATAAATTAGTAACACCTGGGGAAACACCATTTTCAATAACCAGGGACTCCCTGGGAGATGTAACGGCTGTACACGAAAGCCACAGGTTCCCGTTACTTGGATTGCATTTGCTAGTAACTATGGAAGAAAATGTTTTATACACAGATCTATGATTTTAAATGGATTCTTAGCACCTCACAATCACTATCTGGATTTCTCCCCACATTTTTTCCTTACAGGGAAGTGCTGTAACACACATTTTTAAATGGGAACAGAGGCACAAGGAGCCCGACTTACCCACCAAAGGGTTCACCAGAGCACTGAATTACCTCCAGAGCTGCAGTCACAAATTAAAAATATTAATTGCTGCAACCCTTCTCTATCTAACTTTCATGCCTAAAGCAATTTTCTGCTGAATGCTAACCAAACCAGGTCCTAAGCGGAAAGCTAAGAGAGCAAGATTTCCCATTTTCTATAGCATGTGTATGCACAGGCGAGCAGTGAACTCAGACGGCATTTTCTGTCCTACTCAGAACAGAGTTGAACAAACTGGACAGCAGTGATAAAACAAGTCACATGAGGCTTCCAGAGACTCTCGTAGTTCATCCTTGTGTTGTTTACTACCCACAGGATGAAAGAGAAGCAGACACTGCTGACAATTCATTGTACAACCACTGCTACGATGAAACACAATACTTCACTAATTGGGCTCCAGAGTCACCATTTCTGAACAACACATACTTTCTCCTCTCCTTTGGAACTGGCCAGAAACCTTCTGTGAAACATTCACCGCCCATCCATCCAAGCCCAGAACAGACCAAATACCCTAGACACAGGCTGGCTTCACCAGGAGCCCCCCCAGAGTGCTGCAGGGGGAGCAAGCCTGAAGAAGGTGCCTCGCATCTTGGCAGCCAGGGTGGAACTCCAAAGAGGGACAACTCCAACCTGCCTTGCACCGCAACCCAGGAGGGAAGGGCCCCCAAAGGCATTCAGATACAGACTGTGGAGAAAATAGCAAAATAGGTAAGATTTTTGCTTCTTTCAAACACACACTGAGGTGTGTGCTTATATGTATTTTCTTCAAATAAAAAACCAAAACTGTTCTAGTTTTGTGCACATCCTCCCTCTGAGGAGGGAAGTGTTTTCCATCTATGTCTAATCTCTTTGGCTGAACAAGAAGAAAATGCAAAATTTGACTTTCTACCGTGTTTACTTTGCTCTCTCAACACACGCAGCTTTGGCAATTTGCAAGCCTACAGATTCTTGGCGAGAATAACAGATACCCAAGAGTAAGAAGCTTTCTAGTCTTCACAAGTGCACGGCTAGCACCATTAGGACTCCTTCCTGATAAAACATAAATATATTAGCTTGTTTCATCTGAAATCTTAAGAATTTATTAATTCAGCCTATTGCAAAATCAGTGCTGGGAAGTATCAGCAGAAGACACATGAAGGCCAGATCTTGGAGATGATCTTTTGAAACAGGAATTCTTTGGAACTCAAAGACCTGACCTTTTCAGCTATTCTGCTACTCCAATAGCACACAATTTAGTTGCCAAGTTCCTTGAAGTACCCTGAGATGCCAAGGTAAAGAAAGATGAAAGTGAAAGCCTTGATTTTTAATTCTGAATACAGGCATTCAAACAAGATTTATTTAGAACCATCTCTTCATAGCTAAGTATTGCTCAGATGATGTATTTTGGGAATGCAAGTCATCTGTTTACTGTCAGACATGAACAAATACAGGCCATTTCCTAAAATACCAATATTTCAAAAGGCCAAAATGATTATATAGAAAGAAAGATGTACTCATGTCCATTTTAAACACCAAGGCAAAGCATGCCAAGAAATCATTGGTTTTGCTGCAAAGCTGCTTACAAGAACTAATACATTTCCTTTTCTAAAAATGCCAATATCTTAAAGCTGATGCCTAATAGCTACTTGCTACTGGTGGTCTGTGAGATCCACATAATGGGGATAAATAGATCTGGAAAATAGCTTTCCCACATAACATCTGCCTTCCCACCAAACTCTATTGTAAACAAACAAAATAAATGGCTTAAATCCTTGAGCAAGCAACAAGCACAGAAACATTCCAGTGCTGAAAGCAGAACGCCCAAGAGTAGTGGAAGACCATACCGTGGCACCCCAGGGACTAAAGAGATCCTTCATTTTTCCTGTTTAAGGAAAAAAAATCAAACCCCAGAGGAATGGTCTCATGATGATGAACGCACAGAATGCAGTCAGGAGATTTGATTTCTTTCTTGGCTCTGACATAGTCTTGTTATGCGAGTTTGGACAAGATCTGCTGTCTCCTCAAGTTTTGCTAACTAGAGACTCTTTATAATACTCATTCCTCCAAATTTCTACTTTATTGCAATAACTCACAAATGCAAATTCTACCTCCTTGGCGTATTTGTCCACATCACAAATCAAAAGGACTCTCACTTGTTTTGTATCAGTGCATCTGTCACGTAGCACAGCAACACATAACGCGCTAACGTTTCACCTGTGGAAAAGAGCATTGAGATTTCCATCAGGTCAAATAACAACACATTCTGTATTCTCCACCAAGACGACGGACAACTTGTTCCTGTTCAGAAAAAGTTTAAGATCCTGAGTAGAAAGAAAATTCTAAATCACAGCACAACTAGAAAAAACAATAATATTTGCTACATCACTTCTAAGTACTGTTGAAGATGCAACATCCAAGACACTTTGATGCTTCATTTTCTCCCCCAAAGACTGAAGGCAAACATAACCACCTGGGGTAAGATGATACTACTACTTCAAGCTTGTGTCTGCCTTGCAAGGCAAACAGCTTTAATCTTGGCTTAAAAGGAGGCCTGAAATAGCAAGAAGGTGCAAGGCTCCCATTGCTCGCGAGAACCTACCAGCAACAGCCTCCTCCCAGCCAAGGGCTGGGAAAAGCTATTGCTAGAAATGGGCAAACTGCCCAAAATGCCTGTGGACATTTTAAGCTGAGAGGGTTTAAGCTGAGGGTTGCAAAACCCTCAGAGAACCCTGCAAAAGATCCCCAAGCACCTCTGCAGCCAGGACGCACACGCACTGTGGTGAAATCTGATACACAGGGAAGGGGCAGTACAGGCCAACTCAAGAAGGGGAACTTCTGGAAGACTGCTAGTAGAGCTTATGGGAGAGTATTTCACGCCCAGTAAGTTAATAGAGCTGATTTTCCTCCTGACAAAGTTAGCCTTGCAATACCCCAAGGGCCCAGAAGAGAGAAGATTGCAGCTGCAGAAGCCAGGGAATGTTATCGACAGCAGTTGAGGCTGTACCACAGGAGCTGCAGAGCTGGGGCTACCTTAACAGCCTGCTCCATATCTTTAAAAGCTGTTCTGGATCTGTGGCATCTCCTGCAAAGCAACTTTCTGCAGAATTTAAAGTCATTAAGCAGCTACACCGATTTGCTGCAAACCTCCTGGAAGTGTACTCTACATGCCTTTTGGCACCTCTGTTAAGATCAAACCCACCATCTGGGATTACCCCATGGTATCCTGCAACAGTCCAGAAAAACTGCTGCTGCACCCAAGTTGATCCTGCTGTAAATCGTCCAATTGCTAATGTACCCTGTGAGAGTGCTAAATTCCCAGGGCCCAATAACATTGTCCTATTTACTTATTATTTAAATGCTGGAGCGTAAAAATAGAAAATCATTAAGTAAAAAGAGACTGCCTGTGTGCATATGGACTCTTTCATTTACACAGGCCAATTTTGATACTCCAGATTTACATAACGCAAATATTTCAGTGTTGGTTATGCTGGAGCGCACTGGGCTCCTATCATTTTGAACAGTTTCCGTCACACCACTAAAACAATTCACTGAAACGAGACACTGAAATAAGGACAAAGAGAAGTGTGACTAGATTGTATTGAAACAAATCCAGAACCAAGGCTTAGGGCAACACTGTTTTCTTTGCAGGGGGAAGGGGTATGTTTTGGTTTTGTCAGTTTTATTGATGTTACTTATGCAAAATTGTATTTCTAATGTAATACTCATTTTCATTTGTATCTGCATCAACTACTGCGGTTCTGGATCTTGCCAGCTCATAAGCACATGTGCTGCTGCATGCTCAGAATAGCTGAGCCCAAGGAGATGGCAGACGCCGAGGAAGCCTGTACTTACATGTTCTTGGTTTTCTGAACCGTCTCTAACTCAGACAGAACCTGGCAAATTTAACACTGTAATGCTACTCCATAATGAAGTTTCTCATTTTAATAAACACTAGCAACTAGATCAGTACCTTATTAAAATATCCTCTCTTACTTGAACAATCATACTGTGTACTCAAATTTGTTTTTCATTGTGGTTGGCCACAATAAAATCACTAAATGCACCCTGCTTCTAGTCCATTTTTTTTGCCGGTTGGAAACACTCCAAAAAAAATTGAAAGACACCATGTTTGAAAAGAATAAGGAAAAGAGTAACATCAAGACTAAAAGCAAAACCACCTTAGACCGTTATTAGCA